TTCTGGGAGTTGAAGTCCACTCATCTTAAAGTGGCCAAGTTTGGACAACACTGATCTAAGTGCAGCACATCAAGTTTTATCACAGAGATTCTAAGAAATCATACAGCTGGAAGACAGGTGGCTATGCATGAGGAACAGTTGATTCTTGTGAACAAAACCAGCTAATAGAAAATAAGGTCTTCTGGAATCTCAGCTGCTGTATTTTTTATTTATTCATTTTATTTATTTAGCAAATTTGTATAGCCGCCCATCTCGCTGAATGTAATTCTGGGTGGCGTACAATGGACAACAGTTAAAACAATATAACAACCATTAAAACAACTAAACATAAATAAAAAAAACAAGATTGTGGGAGAGTAGCAACCACCTAAACACAGTACAGCCATCTTGCAGGCTTCCCGCGGGGTCCGCAACGTTGTTGGAAAACCACGTTTTAAGGGCTTTCTGAAAGGCTAGCAGGGATGGGGGCTAACCTCGCCTTGGGGGTGGGGGAATGATGCTCCAGAGGGCAGGAACCACAGCTGAAAAGACACGTCTTCCAGGTCCCATCAGGTGGAACCCTTTGGCAGACGGGACCCACAACATGCCCCTCCTGCTGGACTTGATGGGACGGGTAGATGTGTACCTCCTCCATCTTACACTTCTGAGAAGCTACTGTTAAGCAGCAAGCTTGCTGTTTTTCCATAATGTTCTACCTCTTCTCCTCCTGCAGAAAAGTTGCAAATGAAGCTGGGTGAATTTCTGCCCCGCCTCCTGGATTGCTCTCCAGAGGGAGTTGTTCTGAAAGAGCCCCCCAAGATCCGCCCGAACTCACCCTACGATCTCTGCAGCCGATTTGCAGCTGTTATGGAGTCCATTCACGGGGCCTCCGCGGTGACTGTGAAGTAACAGTGGCCAGCCATCTTAGCTTAAGCTCCAGGGGCCACTGAGCCCCCCGAGAGTGGAATCCAGCTGCCAGACGACTTTGGGAAGGATCCTTGAGGAGAGGGACTGCACGGAAAGAATCCACCTTCAGCCTGAACAGAGATCCTGTGGATGTCTAGGAAAGTGCTAGAAGGTGTGTGGTGCTCTTTGGCACGCGTTACTTACATGCAGGCACTAATTTTGGAACGTGCACTGAGGTTTCAAGTTACACTTTGGCTTTAGCTCCTGCAGGGAAGTTGTGGGAAACGTTTTTAGAAGAAATCTGCAGTTTTAAACTAAACATTGTATATAGACAATTCCATCTTGCCAAATTGGCACATTATCTGGCCGGTGCTTCTTGAGAGCATGTGATGTGTACCCCTTTAACATTTTAAAGGTCCCTGCCACACGTGCTGATCTCCTGACGGGTTAATTTGGGCTCCATGAATGGGTCAGTGCATGGGAGTGAATTTAATTGTGTTGAGGGCTGCATGGAATACTGGCAAGGGCCCCTGAGCCCTTGGCGGCCTCAAAGCACAGCACGTTCAGGCATAAGCAGAGTCATAGCCAGGGGGTTAAATGACATGTATGTTACCTCTGGGTGAAGGAACCTAAACTGTAAACAAGGTTTATTCTCATGGTGAGACGATACACCTGTTGGCAGTCCATCGGCTGTCTTGGGTAGCCATTCTTGTACATTCTGCGGATGAGCAACTCAGAACCGCCGTTGCTGTCGGCTTAGGACCTGGCAATTGTGCCGAGACTGAATGAGGACAACACAACTGCAGAGCCAGTCCCAGCAGGGGCTAGAGGTGGGAAGCAGCTTTTGTGAACCTCCCCAATCATATTTCCTTGAACATCAATCACTGAAGTTTAATTATCTGGGTAGTATTGGCAAATAAATGCACTGAAGTCCAGATAAAACCATGTTTAATAACTCACACTTTTACCTGTTATATTTTCCTCAAGATATTTTAAAGTAATCTGTTTTTATTAGAATGCTAACAAATCAAGATGGAAATACAGATTTGATGAGATTTCTGGTTTCAAAGTGCAATAAATGTTACCCTATTTAAAGACGTTTGTAGTTTGTTTTGCTTCTTTCTAGCCCTTCAACTTCAGTCTGTCGTCTTCTCGTAACTTTCAATAATAATTTTGAAGGCTTAGTGCATACTCATGGCAGTTATTTCTCTCTCTCTCTCACACACACACACCCCTAATTTCCTTAGATCTGGGGAATAAATCAGTTGCTTCATCACATCTGGCTGTCATCCTCAAAGAGGTTGGCTGAGGGCCGCTGATGCATGCATCGGACTGCAGAAGGTTGGATCTAGAACTGTTTTGATGTTTAAAACTTCCTCCGTGCCCTTTTCCGCCAAAAATGGCGGAGCAAGCAATCCAGCTGTTGTCCAGGGCTGCTCCAGGAGGGCAGGTTGGCTTGCGAAGGCATAGCATCCTGTTTCATTTGAGAGCAAAGTCCACTGGACAAAATAGAGCTCGCTACTGAATTCATCTGTGCGAGAATAGTTACTGCCTTGGTTTATGGAGAGTTTTCTTCTATCCCCCTTCTGAAATTATCATCGAAGTATCCCAAAGCCTGCTCGAGACTGCTAATCTGCCTCTTATGCAAAGTAAACAGTTCCAATTTCTTGTAAGCACTTAATTGCTTTTTAAAGCCGAACAGTTCTTGTTGAACGAACCTTTATCTTGCTGTTGATACTGGATCTACGCCTACAGACATCCTATCCTTTTTGGCCCACATTCTTTCCATCAGTAAATGGGATGTTTTTAAGTCTTCAAATAATTATATGTGGGGGCTGGGGGGGGAGGTGGGGAGGAGAAAAAGTATTCGTCTTGTACATAAGAGTAGATACGGTCTCAAGTATTCTCAAACAGTACATATTCACTATATTTCTAACCTGCACCCAGTGTTAATTATGGAGAGCAACTGTTACCTTTGAAAAGCTATACAACATAATAGAATGCTAGGTTGTCCGTCTCGTTAATGTCATTTCCCAAACCATCCTTTGGAGAAATCTAAACCAGAACCCTAATGTTCCACATGTCAGATACGTCGTCCCATTCCAGATGCACAGGAACGTGTGTCAGATAACGAGGTCTGCATTTTTGCGTGCTGTATACTGATGTCGATTGGACAGAGCGGCTACCTCCATTTTATGGTGGATCGCTGACTTCTTGGATGACTTCTTGGTCTCTAGAAAACAGGCAGCACTGATTACAAGACAGCCACCTAGTAGAAGGAAAAAACCAGCGAACCAGCCCAGGAAGAGCGCTTCACCAAATTCCCATCTTGGGACAACGTCTGGTATGGTTTGATCCCAAAAGTCTTGCACTGTATTGTAGGCTACCCAGGAGATGGGGACCAGAGTTGCTATTCCAGAAACACAGAAGAGAATTCCGCCAGCGATCCCAAAGTGTGTTTTGTGTCTTGTGTGTCTCGTCTTCAGACAGTTCGATCCCAAAATGGCCAAAGAGAATGCAAGACAGCCCAGTCCATTTGAAGCAACCATTAGAACCCTGGAAACCGTGATCTCTAAAGGCAGGGCCAGCAGAGAAGCATAACTTTCGCACTGCATTACGCTTTCGTCTTGAGTGACGCAGGTCTGCCAAAGTCCCGTATTCCAGATTTCAAGGTCATTTAATTCCAAGTTAAGGCTCTTCCAGAGAGGCACGTAAGTTGTAACACATGATAAGACCCAACCGAAGAGGGAGAAAACCAGTCCACTCAACTGAATGGTGGTGCTCTGGTGCCAATTCATACCTGGACCGTTGTATGACCTCTTCTTAAGCTGACTTCTAAGCTTTTTGTCCAAAGCTTGGATAGAAACGTTCCTGCAGCATTTTATGCTGTCAGAAACTTGCTAAAATTGGCTGTAGGAACAGAATAGATCTGACTTGGTGCCAATCCTTTCTTAAGGATTAGATGGAGGAACTGAATCTGACACCATTAATTCTTGGGTGTGGCCACAAGACTTTTTCATAGCCAGTTGGCCTCATTCATTTCTTTAAAAAACCTGGCTTCCTGGTTTAAAAAGCTTCATGTCCAAGGCAGAAATGTCACTGTTTATTGAAACCAACCATGCAATCCCCTTCTAGCACAAGATATGTCAGATACAGCAAGCTTCACCAACAAAGCCATCCAACAACGATACAACAGGACTAAAATCCTGGATTTTATTTCCTGGATGGTATAATGAACAATGCTTTTCATTGGTTATAAGCTCTATCCTCGGTTCATAAACGTTGACGAATGCACAGTTCAGAAACTTGTTTATAAAGGAACAGACGCTGGTCTTGCTGCAAAAAGACAGTGGAATTCGTACCGACTGCTTCCCGGTGTCTTCCTCTATAAGCAGATTTACAAACAATGTCTACTTTCACAGGATTTCCCATTGTTATTGCAGGATTACGGTCTCTTTCCTACTCATCTCCCCACTGATGCTGCTGCTAATGGTTTTCATCTTCCAGAACCTTGGTCTTTAGGATGGAACGAATGCAGGAACCTGCTCTGTAACATCAACAATACGTAAGTAAATAGAAAAGAAAAGCCTCACCTTCCAATTTTTTAAAAAAGTTCCTATGAACTTTTCTTGAAAAAACCCACAACCGTATCTTCTCTTCTTCTAGGGACAAAATAAAACCGGTACTGTCCGCAGCTGATGTCTTTGGAAAGATGACTCAGTGAGAAGCTCCACGCTTTTCAGGCAGTGAAAAGCAATATTTTCCCATGACGCTGCCTGTGAAGCAGAGATGCCCTCCTTCTAGTTATTGGAAACCGGAACGTTGTGATTGATGACGGGTGATGCAAAGAGGTTGTCTTGAATGCATAGCTGGAAGGAACAGTTCGTTCCTGTGGAATTTCTGGCTGCTTCTGTTGAGGAAAAAGGCTCTCAGGTCCAATTTATAAAGTAAGGTGAGTACTTATTTCAGCTTGTGAGCAAGAAGTTGTTATTCCCTGTTTCTCTCTCTGGGCGTGCCTGCCTACATTTTTGCATATTCGACACAGGTAATTATACTTCTAGCAATTGGGATCCATTCAGCAGAAGAACAAACATTCCTTCATTATCTTGCTTCCACTTATCAATACCCAAACCATTTTACACTCACTGTTAATCTTGGATGTTGCCAAGACTAAATCCCACATTCTTTCCCAAAAACATCTTAGAATGTATATCAGGTCAGAGCAATAGTTTTCTTACAGCTTTTTGTTTGTTTGTTTAATCCATTCAATCGTGTCCGGTTCTTGGAGACTGCCTGGACAGGTCCCTGCAGTTTTCTTGGCAAGGTTTTTCAGAAGTGGGTTGCCATTGCCTTCTCCTTCCTAGGGCTGAGAGAAAGGGACTGGCCCAAGGCCACCCAGCTGGCTTTGTGGCTAGGTGGGACTAGAGCTCATGGTCTCCTGGTTTCTAGCCCGATGCCTTAACCGCAACACCAAACTGTCTCTTTACAACTTACCGTTTCACAAACAGGGAGAAAAGATTCATATCAAAGGGGTGACAATAACAGAGGATATACTGCATAATCAACCCATTCCAATATTGTATTTCCCATCCACTATGCTTTTTTCTAAATAAATAAAAATAAATTTATTTTAAAACATTTAAAGAATAAATAAAAATAAATTTATTTTAAAACATTTAAAGAATAAAATAAATGTCTACGCAGAAGAAAAAAGAAGAAAATGAGAAAAAAACATAGTGGATGGGAAATACAATATTGGAATGGGTTGATTATGCAGTATATATTTTAAAATAAATTTATTTTAAAAGCCTGTTACAGCTCCCTTCACATACTGGTTAGTAACTTAACTTGAAAGGCACAGTAAAAACAACAACAGTACAATTCATGTTACTTCAACATGAACTCAAGTTCCGAGTCTTCTGCTAAACCCCAGTCTACGAAACACGAGGTTAACCTGGGCAGGTGACACCAACACGCCTCATAGGCTCACCTGAGCTGGAGGCGGCTCAGATTCCAGCGGAGGACCTGAATGTTGTAAACGCTTACGGAGCCAGTGGGAGAGGTTGGCTACTTTCAGGAGGTATTGCAAAAACGCAGAGGATAAAGTTCAGGTCAACCGAACCAGCTGCCCCAAGACTCAAGTCCAAAACTCAGGAGTGGCCGAACAAGGAAATGATGAACTCTTACAGGGCAAAGGATGACTTGCACAAACGACCAAAACACAGTGTGATTAGTGGCACTAGCTCTTGAGGGACAAATACCCCGGATAGCCTGAACTGTGCCCAGAGTAGGCTCATTTAAATCAATTGGAATTGAATTAACACTTGAATCCCATTCATTTCACTGGATCTGCTCTTAAGAATAGCCAGTGCTGGATCAAACCCACCCGTCCTAGGCTGTCTGAGATTTCATGGATCAAAAGTAGTACTTCATGTCGCGTTTCGGGGTGGCTGACTGGAAGGGGCTGCAGTCAGTACCTTCAAGGATTAGCAATGAACTCTTGACGCAGCGAACTTTGCTGAGCGCCCCAACCTGGGGCTGTGGAGCTCAGTCGGGGTTGGAGCTACAAGGAAGAAGGCAGGCCGCAGACTGGAGGAAGGGACCCCTCGGAGTGCCTCAGATGAATGTTAGGATTGCAGCAAAGGTCACTTGCCCCTTGGACTCTGAGAGGACCACCGGAGCCATTCAGATTTCCTGCGCGTATTAATAAACCTTGAGCCGTTTACAGCCCAAGCTCAGCAGCTATTTATAACCAGCAGGTTAACCGCTGCTATATCTAAGCTCCCTCTAGGAAGGTCTGGAGTTGGCTTGGCAGCTCTCTCCTCTCTGGCCCCCGGGCGGAGAAGCCTGCGCTGGCCGCACAGCGGTCGACCTGGACTTCCCTTTCTTTTCTTCCCCCTTCGCCAGACGCAAAGTGACTTCTGATACCCTTTTAATACCGGTGTAGCCTCTCAGTCCGACCGAGCAGCAAGAGCAGCAGCAGCTTTGCTTCGTGCAATTTGAAACTCGGGCCGGTGTTTATTTGCGGGAGCTCACGTTTGGCTGTGCAGCCGGCCGAAAGGCACACCTCCGGGGTGGAAGAAAGAGGGGCGGTGTCGGTTCTGGACCAGGAAGCCCCGGTTAAAGCTGGGAAAGATGGAGGGAACGTAAAGCTCCATCGCTGGGTTGGTTTCTGTTTCAAAGAGGAAGCCCGAGGTTCAAGCTGTGGCTTCAGTGATGAGGGGCTGCCGGAGAAGTTCCACAGGTTTTGCAAGACTTCTCCTGGAGTTCAGCACCCTCTATTTTCTCTTGTGCAGGCTCCTTCCATGAGACACCAGTAGATCGAGCGATGGGGCCCTCCGTTTGCCTCATGCAGACGCGCTGGGGCGCCTCCTCATCTTTCATTAACATGTTTCATTGCATCCGTGTCAGAAATGGACTGGGCTACATCAGCAAGGTCTTGCTTGCCACCTTCTCAGATTGGGCATGACCTTTAGCACCACCTTTATTTGCAAGAATGCTCCTGGGCAATTGCTGGCCCTTGACACTGAATATGCACATGGCAGAAGGCACCAATCCCATTCCCCCACTTCGCTGACTCCCTGCCCTGTTCCATACATTGCTCAAATGCATTGCCTAAGTCCTCCCTGTGGGGCTGACCTGAGGTGCAGCAGTAGGGCACCCAAACTGCCACAGTCTCAGGACCCAGCATTTCCTGTTGAAAGGGCCAGGTGGGAAGAGAAAAGAGCATATTGGAAAAACATTTCCATTTCATAACCAGGCAAGTCAAAGAATCCTAGCATCTCCTCCTCCTCCCATATTGCCTTTGGATAGCAGGTTTCTTCCGGGGAAGTATCTTTGTAGGACCAGGGAATATCCCTCTAGGGCTGAGGTTCCAAAGCTGGTAAAATTGGGGGCAGCCAGAAGGTTGTGATTCTGTTCACCAGATTCAGAGATGTGTTTAATTTGCTCGTTTGAAGATTTAGCAGGAAATATTGGCCCATGAGGGTCACAGACGCCTTTGCAATTTGCAAGTGCAGTCATGCCTGAATGCTGGCTTGGGATCTGGCCAGGTTGCTTCTTGATCCCCTTTACATAAAGCCTGCAAGAAGGAAAGAGATTGTGAAACGGTTCCTAATGAGAAATTGAGTCACGGGGAGCACCACGGGGATCCTCAGCCTTCTTGGGAGAGCTGCTGTCTCTTTCACCAGAGTTTTTACCACATTGTGGTTTTGTCATTCAAACGTACACCTGGAACTCCTCGGGAGGATTATGCTAAAGCGTTTCGGTTAACTGGTTTTTCTTCTCCCTAGCCTTGTCTGGGTGTGCATCTCCTTAAATGTTTTCATAAGTAGGTGTAGGTGTAAATTTAGACTTTTAATCTCTCCACAGGATAGGAGTTTTTCAGCAATTTTCCAGGTGGGGAAGATGAAACTCAGGGTGAAATCCAGTACATTCCCTCCCCCCAAGCCTTTCTTGTATTCTTATTCCCCATGTTTCCTTCCTTGTATGCAGGAATTCTCATTGATTCTTAGCATTTTCTGTGTCCCACAAGCATCAATGTCTCTTGCAAAGCTTGGGCAAATGCTGGCAAAAGTAGAGAGTAGCATTTAGGTCCTTCTCATCATGGGCCTCTCTCCCCAGGATAGGAGTGCTGGCAGATTAACCCTGTGGGCACTCTGAGTCTCCCACCAGCATTCCTCCTCCTCCTCCTCCTCCTCCTCCTCCTCACCCCGTCTCTCTGATTAAATCATCTTGAGATAATTCTGTATGTCATTGAAACAGATTAACAGATGACCTTCTTCTTCCAAGACTGAATTGAAAGGCTGTTTTCTGGCTCTCTTCCTCTCTTCTGTGAATTCTGAAGGCACAGACAGAGAGAAGGAGACAGTTTGCCCCTTCCAGAATGGATGGAAATCTTCCAGGGAGCGGAACGCATCTTAAGTTGAAAGTCTGCTCTTGAGGGCTCTGGAGTCTCAAAGAAAGACCGGCGGGACAGATTCTGCAGAACAGAAGGCCTCTCCATAACTTTGGAAATCCTTGGCTTCGTCCTCAAATCACATCCAGCTGGAAAGATGAGGTAGGTGCACCATTCAACACCAGCCCTGTCTAGAATAGAGATTATGGACTGAAGTGGCAGTTCTTCGAGTTGTAAGCTAGTGTAGATATGATTTTGCTTCCTGATCCCTTTTAATTTAGAACAGTTCTGGTTAAAGATACCTCTTTGGGTCCTTTTTTCCCCCCAAAGATAGACTTCTCGCAGTCTAGGGCTGCCCTGGCAATTCATTGTATTTGTGGTGGTGGACCTTTTAGTTGTTTCATGTCAAGAGTGTCCTTTAGAAAGGAGGGTGGGGTTCTCTACCTCTTTCCCATTATATGGTTGACCTCATTTAATATTTCCTTGGTGTCACTGATATTTTGGTTAATCTAAGGAATTCTGTCTCATGCAAAAGGCATTTACTCTTTGGTTTTGGATATGTCTGAAAGCAAGGCTTTGACTCCACTTCTGTTGCTTTCCCCTCAGCTTGAAAAGCCACTCCTGACATTGTCCTCCACCTTGGTCTGTGGCGCCCTTGAAGGACATCCAGAAACTTCAACTACTAAAATATGGAGCTCAGGCTGAGATGCTTTGTCTCAGCCGTGCCCCCTCTGAAGCCCTCTGACTCGGTTGGCACTATTATTTCCAGAATTCTGTTGGCTGGGAATTCTAGGAGTTGGTGCCCCAACACACTGGATGCTTCCAGACTGGGGAAGGCTAGACTGGGCATCCCAGGAAAGCACAGGGGCGTCATCTCAGTGCCTTCTGAACTCTAGCCACATCGGTATGATATGGCTTCCCTATATGTAGCAAAAGCACATGGGTCACCCTTGTTCCTGTTGGTCCTGCATGTTCAGTTTGTCAGACTGCAATCTGTTATTTCCTATTCTCAAGTTGTTTTCTCTTGTTGTTGTTGTTTTTGGACTTCCTTACCCAGGTTTCTAAAACCCAAGAATGCTCTCACCCCAAACAGATCCATATTACGGCAGGATATTGGAAAAAATGGTGCAAAAAGACATGAAGGCATTTGTGTGTCTGCCCGAATGCTGGATGAAATCGGTCCCCAATGAAGAGAGATCTCTTGCCCCTTCTCCCTTCAGCTGGCACTTGCCCAGAGGGCTTTAAATCCAGAGGAAAAAGGCTGAGAACCTCTTGCTTTCACCATCTGGGAATTGGTCTTCGGTCATGTAATTGGTTTAGCCATCTGCTCTTCGCTGTCATCTCCCGTACCCCCACCCAATATGGCCAGCAACCAGATTTTAAACCCATTATTTTAACACAGGGCCAGTCCAACACAACTTTGAATGTATACATCCACACGTGCCACCTGCCAAAAACACAGAAAGGCAAACCATAGCAAACAATCAGTTAAAGGGAAATCTCATGTTCTCCCCAGATTTTTGACTGCTTAAGATCCAGCCTGTTTTGCCCTAGGTAGTCCCTGCTACCCCAACCACATAGGCGCAGGAACGAGCAACCTACTTTGATAGCTCTATGCCTTCTCCAGGGCTAGCATCTTGTTCTGTAGGTGAACTGTTACCTGGATTGGTATCCTAATCTGCCTCAGACAAAGAGTATGTAACACTCTTATTTTAGACTGCGTTTCTTGGGGTATCAGACTTGAGGGTACTCTTGGCTTATGAGGGTGTATTTGAATGTTGATCTCCAGGTTCATTTCATTCAGCTCAAGCTTTCTTCTGTCTTCTACAGTAGTAGGACAATACTACTTTATTATTTGTTCATCAGTATTGGTGCTCTTGATGTTTCAACAGATCGAGCTTGGGGAACCAGTATTCTTCCAGATGTTGATGGACTACTTAATTACTGTTCATAGTGGCTGAGGCACTACAAATTCATCACTCCACAATTGGACAAATGAACTGATAGAAATTTCCTAATTACTAGGAAGACCTCAAAACTCTATATGCCTTTTGCCCATGTGAACATTCACTTCTATAGTGAAAGTTTAGAATCTATCACCTGCCATATGGGCATTGATAAGAGAATTGGAAATAAAATGAAAAATTCAAATGTATTCTTCCTCATTTTAATGCTGTATTTATTTCGGTTTATAGTCCATTTTATCTTTGGTTTGTATATATCCTTGACACTTTCTCTATAATCAACTTATGTAATAGGTAAAACTGACTCCTGAAATTTCTGAACAGTTTTAAATCTTTCAGAGAATCACCTGGTCCAAAAGCTGCCAGGACAACTTGATGGTGCCTGAAAAAGAGAATGAACTTGAATCTCCCATATTCAAATGACATTTTTCTCTTACTTCCTGCTAAAAGCATTACCTGTTCTTTTCTGATCTTCTCTGGAAGGATCCCTCCCTGGAGGAAATGAAGTATGGGATCAGGTCACCTTCTGGCCTGAAGCAATCACGGTGCTACCCATTACTAGCAGCAACATGGAATTGCAACTAGACAGGAATCTCTATATCCACAACAGCGTTGGAGACCGGCGGCTGAAATATGATGATTCCAGGATCCGCAGAAATTCCATCCCCCCAACAACGTCCCCCACCGCAAAGCACATGTTGGCTTATCTCCCACGGCCTCCCACAGAAACAAGCAGATATGGGACCTTTTCTCAGAAGGTAGGCACGCATGAATAATTTTGCTAGGAGCCTCCATAAACCATTCCCCTTAACTGAAGAGTGTCCCACGTTACTTTAGATCTTCCTTCCATTTTGATTTTTCACTTTTTGTGAATGACAGCAGTGGAAGGTTGGTATCTCAGGACTGTTACTCTAACAACATGCCCTCTTCCCACATTAGAGATAAGTAAGATTCTCAAAGTCAAGTTTACTGAGTAGTGTCACAATGAAGAAAACATACAGTATGGTTCTGAAAGATACTCTCAGTGGACAGATTAGCAAGATGATAACCCTACAGAATGTGTGTGGTAATAATCTAAAGTATTATATTCTGATTTAAAATTAATAAAGCATCTTGGAATCAGATCAAATTGGATGGGTGACCAGCTGGGCGTTCTCTGACTTATACATTAAAGCACTGTTTCTCAATCTTGGCAACTTTAACATGGGTAGACTTCAACAGCCATACTGGCTGGAGAATTCTGGGAGTTGAAGTCCACCCATCTTAAATTTGCTAAGGTTGAGAAACCCTGCATTAAAGGAATGTCAAGGTACTTGACCAATACCTAGTCAGCAAGAGGGAATGGGACCATTTTCCCTAAACTTAAAAAGTGAGCATCTGTGCTTCAGTTAAAAGCTTCCACGGCAGCCCTCTCATTCAGTTTGGAGAAAGAAATCAAGTGACTGGGGGGCTCCTAAGAGGACTAATGAATTACTTTTTTTTTCAAGCCTGAAATGACAACATCTTTAGACAAGAGCCACCAGCAAACAAAAACCATGACCACAAAGAGAAATGCTCTGACGTGCAACTATCTTTCCATACCTTGCAGTACAGATGTTTCCAATGACAGGACAGTCCTTCTCCAGAAAAGACTCAGCACGGTGGAACAGGCCAACTATAGTGCCGTTGGGCCTCCCAAACATCAGCCTGGTTTCTCCATTAATACAGACAAGTTGCCTAAATATTACTGGTCCTCCCAGGCTGACCCAGTGCCACCTCCTCTCTTGCGGGGGTTGAACGCTCAACTATATCCCCAGCATGCTTTCAGTGTGCCCAACATCATCAACTCTTCACGGAGCAAAACCCTAACCCGCAGCGTCATCTCAATGCCAGCCTCGGACAAAGGTCAGAGCAAGCGCTGCAAACTCATAGATGAAGACCGACAGTTTGGTAGGAGTAGTAAGCACCAAAGACAGCGCTATGTGACCAAAGTAGGGAAGTGCAAGGTCAACTTAGGCAACATTCAGGAAAAGAAGAGGTTCTTATCAGACATTTTTACCACCGTTGTGGATCTCAAGTATCGCTGGTTCCTCTTCATCTTCAGCATGTGTTACATTATCACTTGGGTGGTCTTTGGCATCATGTATTACCTTGATGCCTGGATGCGAGATGATGTCAACCACATAGGTGACTTGGAGTGGAAGGCGTGCATTGAGAACATTGATAACTTCATCTCAGCCTTGCTGTTCTCTGTGGAAAGTCAACGGACAATTGGCTACGGCTCTCGCATTGTGACGGCCAACTGCTCAGAGGGAGTCCTCTTGCTAATGGCCCAGTCCATCATTGGTTCTATGATAGATGCACTCATGGTGGGATGCATGTTTGTCAAGATCTCCAGACCCAAGAAGCGTGCCCAAACCTTAATCTTCAGCAAGAAGTGTGTGGTTTCCAACCGGGATGAGAAGCTTTGTCTTATGTTCCGCATTGGAGACCTTCGGGACAGTCACATGGTAGATGCAAAAATAAGAGCCAAACTCATTAAATCCAGGCAAACCAAGGAAGGGGAGTTCATCCCACTGGACCAATCAGAACTGAATCTGGGGTATGGCACAGGGGAGGACCGTCTCTTCCTGGTGGAGCCACAGATAATTTGTCACATCATCAATGAGCTCAGCCCTTTCTGGGAGATGTCTGCAGAGGCACTGAAGAGGGAACAGTTTGAAATCATCATAATCCTCGAAGGCATTGTGGAAGCCACAGGTGAGCGTGCCGTAGAGCAGCCTGCTGTGGGAAAGACCTTGTAGACCGTGGTCTCAGGTGGGAGACTTACATGGTAGCCTATCATACCTATCACGTTCTTAAACTTTCAGAGCTACCTACATATTACAGGTGACCTCAGGGAATCCAGATTTTTATTTCAGGCCCAACTCTGGTGCCATTTCTTGACTCCTCATTTTATCCAGTGGAGAATAGGATCCATTTGTGTAATACAGTTCCCCACCCACCACCCCCTCCCTTTATGTGATTTATGTATTGTACTAAGCCAAGATTTCTTTACCTAGAGTGCATTGAATAACTCACAACTGGCTGGGTGTGTGTAACATGCTCAGCCCAGATCAAAGAAAGCACATTTGGGGAGGGGGGAGATTTCCCCAGCATGGAAGTTTTTAGCCAGGATGAGAGGAGGGAAAATATGCCACATAAGACTGTAAATTTAAGCAGCAACACTTTGAATTGTGTTTGGGAACACATCAGGAGGTGGGAGGCTGTATCATTTGACTGGATTCATTAAAATTTCAGAGCAGAAAGTGTATTAGACACAAGCAAAAACTCATTCTAGGGTAAGAAAAGCAGGAGATAAATAACATTGAGCCCTGGGAAAACCTAATCATGAAGGGAGTCATATTAATGTTAATAAGAGATGTTAAATTCATTCCATACACCCCTGCTGTGTGTTGCACTTTCACATTCTCTTCTTTTAGGAATGACATGTCAAGCCAGGACATCATATGTAGAGAATGAAATCCTCTGGGGCCATCGTTTCGAGCCCTGCATGACCCTGGAAAAAGGTGCCTTCCACGTAGATTACACCAAATTTGAGAAGACTTTTGAAGTGCAGACATCACTGCTGAGCGCACGAGAAATGTATGACCTGAAGGAGATGGAAAATCAGGACCAGTCAACGCTGAGCTTGTACTGGGATCATCTGGCCCAACCTTGCTTTTCAGCAGAACCCAACAATGGAGCACAACGAGGGGGTTGTCCCAATGAGGAAGGCTTCTCCAATATCAGAGAGGAGGAGAGGAGCAGCGAGGACCAGAACCAGGAGACCAGACTCTAAGCGTTTGGAACTATCTCTGTAAGCTTCTGTGAAAAAACAGGGAGGAAAAGAAGCAGTTGCACGCCACCTCCTCGTAATGTGGCTATGTTGAAATCCATGGTGGAATCAAATGGAAAGCAGAGCATTTATGCGTCATCTCGTTTGGACACAATTTGGGATCGAGATCAAAGAGACCTCTGACTAACCACTCATGACTTCAGATTAGTCCTCCAATCACCACCCTTCCCTCTTGGAGCTGGAGCCATTTCAAAGTCCATGTTGCATTCCCAACTGATTGTCTAGGACTTCTGGTTTCTGCAAGCAGAGATTGCACGTGGAACCTGTTGCACTTTAAAAAAAACAACAACGTTGAACTACTTTTGTGGGCATGCCTATCCTTGTCCAAAGTAGTGGAACTTGTATGTGGTTATTTGAAATGTGTTTGCTTATTTTGCCACAGGGAAAACCGTGACCTGACTTGCATCAGTGTTCTGCATTATACCCAGTCCTCTTTGCTGTGCCCCATACATTGTACGCACCTGGGTCTGCTGTATCCCAGGCCACTGGTTTGGCCACAGAAATGAATGTGTTTCATATTTTATAGTGCCATATGGAGCTCACGGCGGGTGCCCCCATTCCCTTTCTCCACGTGCCCAAATAGGCCTCTTACCTTCTTTTTTGCCGAACAGATGCCTTTAGTTCCTGAACCCACCTTTGGTACTTGTTGCAGGGTAAATGTTATTACAAGAGAGCTTTTCTTTTGTCAGCAAGGATATCTAGAACGGGAGAGGGCCCTGGCAAGCAAATAAAGTTCCTTCTTGCACAGCACCTTGGAGCAACCGAGCATGTCCCTTCAATCGGTCTTCCTTGCACCACGCATTGAGGCGCATATCACCAGCCTTCCCTGCTTGCAGTGCTCCATGGCTCAGAGGTGGGCATCTTGAGATTGACGTAGCCTTGATCAACAATTGGGTGTTTGTGGGACACCCCCCCCCCGTCAATGAAGTCAACACTTCTGTGATCTTGGATGGGCAAATGATTCATGCTACATGACCAAGCACACAAGGAATTCTTTGTTAACCCCCTCGCTGGGTTGATTACAATATAGCGAGGCTTTGCTTAAGCAGACACACACCCCTTTCATATTCACCAAGCTGTGCCAAGTGACTGAGAGGAGCGGAGAAGATGGATCGTGACCCAAGTCCCTGTCCATCCGCTTCTTTTTATAATGTGCCACTACACGTCACTTCAGCTGTGGTCTCGGTGGTGGTTGCTCTCGTTGTTGGGCTAGATACTGCTTGATGCGCCATTTTCACCTAGTGGCCAGCGTGTGGTCTGGTTCCAACTGGGTCACTCGGACTTTGCACATCCATGTTTCTCAGGCTTCTTTGTTCATGGTTTTTCTCAGGCTTACGTGTCACTAAATTCAGGTGGGGACCCATAGATTTTACAACACTTCGTGCTTCTAGGATGGGTGTACAAGGTGCATGTGAATGAGGGAAACAAATCTTTTTGGAGGGGCTGAGCACGGGGCTTTCCGTTGGATACCTCCGAGGGGGAGTAGAGAAGAAAAAAATTAAGGGACCTCCTCCTCCTTTAGAAACAGCCGTGCTTCTCCATGGACGGTGGCAGTTAAGAACTGGAGAATGGCTGCTGGGGTCAAGGCTCCATGTCCCTTCTTCTCCCGCTGACCCCACGGTCTCTGAAAGCTAAGGAAGGAGGGACTGATTTCCTTATGCTCTTCCTTTTTGCAGTGCAACCTGGACAGTGTAGATGGCAAATGGATCTGCCTAGATCAACCAGCGTTTCTCAAAAGGTTCCTTCTGGAAGGAGACAAACTCAGGCCAGCCATGCATGGGATAAGTCACCAGTACCAATTATGAAAGACATAAACCGTTAGAAGAAAGAAATACTTGCAAACGCTAACCCCTGTTGATTCACAATCCCCACACCTGGCCGGCCCTTTCATTCACAGTGGATTCTTCCAAGCTGCTGTGATGGCAGGGTTTCATCTCATCCTGTAGCCCTACCCAAAAGACGCTCCCACCAGCAAAGGACCTCGTCAGAAATAGCCTTTTTCATGTTTTAAAATGCGTTTCTGAAAATTTAATTGAAGTCCAGCGCACTGAGGACAACGCTAGGATATCGTTTTTACGAAGTCTCTGCTGGGAAGTGCAATGAGGAATCTCAGTCTTTTCCAGGGGGGCTCATTTTAGTTCCTCTCTCAGAACAACCCTGCGCAGGGTTAACGATTAACAAACTCCTGCTCGGGCTGCGAAGGGGAAGCCTGTGGTGCAGCCAGGACTGATGCCCGGGGCTGGCGGAGAAGCGCCCGTCCCAGGCCCAGCCAACAGGAAGCTGCTAACTCCAAGGGCAGAAGCCCCTGCCCTGCCTTTAGGGCAGTGTTTCCCAACCTTGGCCACTTTAAGCTGTGTGGACTTCAACTCCCAGAATTCCCCAGCCAGCCACCCTGGCCCTGGAAATCTGGGAGGTGGAAGTCGTCCAAGATAAAAGGGCCAAAAGTGGGGAACAATGTCATTGAGAGGCCGGGCCCG